ACAGGGCACGGGGCCCAGCGGCGGGACCCGGCCGAGGGGCGGGGTCATGCGGGGGCGACGAGGGCCCCTGAGGGACAAGCTGCAGCCAAGCGCGTTCTCCTGCCGGGCGGAACGTCGGGAGGTGCCCGAGTGCAGCGACTGGCGTCACGTGCGTGGGCACAGCACGGGCAGCGCGTCACGCGTGGTAACGTCGGTGGCGACCTGCGCTGCATCGCGATAGAGCCCCTCCAGCAACATGTACCCCGTGATGTACAGCGTGCACACGACAGAGCATGTGCGACGTGCACGCACACGCCGTGACATGCACGCAACATGCATCACACGCAGCACTTGCCGTGTACCTGAGATCCCTAAAAACGTGTCGCATCATGGCATGGCCTGTATAGCAACAGGTCGCGTACATGATATACTATGTACATGTGTCAATATATGTACAGCAACATGCACACATGTGTGATATATGTACAGCAACAGGCATCACGTGTGTGATATATGTACATCCACACGTGTGATATATGTACAGCAACGTGCATCACACAGCAAGTATTGCAGCATATGTCATATACATGAAATCCTGTACAAATGTGTCACATCATGACAACATGTATAGCAACAGGTCACGTGCACGAAATACCATGTACGTGTCAATATATGCACAGCAATATGCCTCACGTGCATGATATCCCCTGTACAGCAACATGCATCACACACACATATCATGTATAGCAGCATGTACCACATACATGCGCATCACATCATGACAACACGTTCAGCAACAGACCACAGGCATGATTACCATGTACATGGGTCATATAGCAGATGTATGTCACATACAAGATATCCCCTGTACAGCAACATGCATCACACACCTGATCACACGCGTGACAACAAACGCATCACGGAGGCCGCGCACACCGCCGGGCGGCCGAGCAGTGACTCGCCCCGCGGGAGCCCTAGTCCCTGAAGTCCGCAGCCCCGCACGGGCTCCCTGGCCGGTCTTGCAACGGAGGACGCCCCGTAAATGACCCTGCCACCGCTGTCCCCGAAAAAATGTCCATTTCTGCAGCGCGGAAAAGTTTCATGCCAGGGCTTTAAAAAGATCTTTCGTGGC